GTGGGTTGAGCTTCTTCTGTCAGGTCCAGCTCCCCATGTGGGAACATGAGAGAAGCCTCCCACAAGGATGATAAAACATCAAACATCCGGACGTCCCCTCAGCACATCCTTGCAGACGGCCAATTCTCTCACACCAGAAGTGACTTGCAGTTTCTCAAGTTGGTACTGACATGGAAAAAAACCCCACAAAACAAACCTTTGAATCACTGCATAAAGCAGTGGATATCTTTTCTTTGAACATTTTTTTCTTTCTATATAGAGTAGCAGTGAAGACTGCAAAATGGCATTCATGGATGTTTTCCAGAAATACCCACATAAGATTCATCAGTCTTCCAAGTGTTGTGCTGTTGAACCTCTTGTTGAGTTCACCCTAAGATGAATCCTGCATGAAACCTCCAATAGAATGTGCCAATGGTGCCTGAATTTGGCTGGACTGGGCAAGACAAAGTGTCAATTAGCAATACCAAAGCTTCACATTGAGTTCCAGAAATTGTTATTCCCCTAGGTACAATGGATTTGTGCCTGGTGTGCTTTAGCCAATTTACACACAGGATTAGATAATTAAAAAAACAAACACTTCTTTCACAGTCTTCCCAGAAAGGGTGCTTGGCAATAATTTGTAAAGCAAGCACCCTTTCTGGGAAGACTGTGAAAAAATTTAAAACTTTCTAGCTAACAAGATGCTACTATCTGATGGATTTTTTGCCACCTGCCTTGGCATTAGTTGATTACAGTGTCAAACCTATAAGAAAAGCTAATGTGGCACACAATAATTTTGCTCTCCCTTCTAAAAGATTCAACTGCTAGAGGCTAGCATTAAATGCATTGACCTAGTATCTCAATTTTCTTAGGAAAGCATTCATTAATGATTTAAGAAAACAGTGTTAACAGTTCTTAGGAAATCATTGAAAAAGAAATGCAAACCTAAATCCAGTGTCATTATTGCAGATTTTTTTTTGGTCAACAAGGTTTTTGCTTTTTCCTCCTCTCTGAAAATCTCCATACTTCTCTACAAAAGAGGCTACTCTGGAGAATTTTTGGTGATATGTTTCAGGACTACAGTAGGCCAGGAAATCCTCTTGGTTTCTCTGATGAGAATATTTTCGTCAGGGGGAGAATCTTTTAAAATATGTGCAATGTGTTTATATTGATCTGCAGTATTATTAATATTTTGTAACAATAAAGTTACAAACATGACCAAATATATTTGCTTAAAATTACCACATGGCATGACTGTTTGCATGGACATTAACATTTTCAAATAAAATATGTTAACCTACTGAAGAAAATATATTATCTACTAATTTCCAAGTTTTGAAAATGGTATTGTTTTTGGAATACTGCTTAAGAAGGTTCAAAATTATGAGGCATTGGTAAAAATTAAAATAAATACTACTATTCTAGCTGAGGAGCCCACTATTCTATAAACATAAGGGGAATAGTTATTTTGGAAAAAAAAAACTCGCATTTCTAAATTCTTCTTGTCTATTTAAATGGAGTGTGAATCCTTTTGTCTACCAGCCTGAAGAAGTCTTAAATCAATGGCCATGGCTTTAGTTAGAATTCTGAACCATCATTTGGTTTATTTTAATAATCATCAAATATATCACAGTACAGATTGTGCTTTATTCAAAATGCTTGGGATGAGAAGTGTTTGGAATATCTTTTTTTTTTCAGAATTTGGAGTACCTGGATTTGAATATTAACATATAATGAGATTTCATGAGCTCATCTACACTGACCACTTAAGTTGGTTCAGAATTGGTTTGGCAGAAACCAGATTCTCAGATTTTGTGTGTTTGGCATCTCAAAAGTAAAGTTTTGGTATGTGACAGGAAGGTGTTATTGCTACCAC